CCGTCTGGTATAGCTAATAGATATGCTTCACGGGCAGCATATTCAGTAATAATTTGTATCATAGATTTTATACACATGCAGACCAATACACACAATCACCAAACAATCATCCATATTCGACCTTGCTACTCAATCAATTTTGAATTTTCTGTCAAATTTTCTCAATGATATACTCTACAGAATATCTCGGCATTCTCAACCAACAAAGCATGCTTGCAGCATGGTTATTGAGCATGTCGTGTCGTTGACTTAGTCGTTCATAGATGACGCTAACAGCGCTGATATAGTGAGCAAACGCGGAGTGAGGCTAGGAACTATCTAGGCAACAGGTCGACATTCTGTCGGTTTTTTTTGACAATATATCATATATTGTTTACGTAATAACCCTGCCGTTGTCGAATAGGGGACGCGTACCATTACGTCAGTAGTTTTCTAATGGACCCTGTATTGCGCCTTCCACAGCTTTTCGCCATGAAATCCATTTCAGCAAGGTACAACAAAGGGATCGCGGCGAAGCGTCGTAGGCCTTACGAGATATATTTAGTATGAATTTTTATGAGTTCTTCGAATTACGCTCACAGACAGCGTGATCCTCCCATTATCTTCCATATGGATTCGTCCCAGTTTTCGTGAATATGCGTAGCGCACGTGGAACGAAAGAGGTTCATGCGGCTGGGAACATGTATTTAATTATGGAACTCTTATGAACAGCTGCATGGGGAGACTTTATACGTGCAATAAGGCTAAAAATGGCGTTCCATCAGCATAAAGTATGAATATATTTATCAAAAAAGATTTCATCCACTTGCGTTTTTTCAGGCTAAGCTTTAAGCTACTTTAAGCGAGAGGTCTGATAGATATGTATCGCTTTTAACAATTACACGTTAGTGCTTGCCTCACTTCATTATGACGGGTAGCATAGTTGCACTTGATATATTTTGTTGTTCACCATTTTTGAAATAATGATCTACTACACGTGACACCTCTTGTCAAAATGTACAAGCTTTTATGATTATATTTGCCCTGCCCAAATTATTCTTTGCAGTTCACTTCACACTGTAAGTCAGTTTGAGGTTAAATTAAAAGCAGTGTTGTTCATGTTATTTTTTGCTCCTGTTGATAAGCTTTTTTTACATTTGGTGTAAGTAGAGATTTTTAAGATATATATTTTTACGTATTTTATGGACATGTAATAATTAATTGAAAAAGGGCTTATTTATGTTGAAATATAATTGATCAACATTAATTCGTGCTTGTTCTGTATATCGTACCAGTCACGGTTTTGTAAATTGTACCGGTACGATTTACCCAACTGAGGCTCTTTGCATCGATTTTCAACAAAGTTTTCATTAAACGTTCTTAAAAAAGAAGATGAGTAAAGTAAGAAATAACAAAATAACAAAACGGGCATACTGTCGATGGTCCTCAGAAGATATGGACCATGCGATTAATGCATACAAACAAATAGTGTGGTTTTAATGAGTGCTGCAGACGTTATAACATTCCAAAGCCGACTTTTAGGAGGCACTTGCGCTCTTTAAATAAAAAGGCAAATGAAAATATTCAGTTTTTGGGTCGATACACAACTTCTAGCCCTGAAATTAAAATGGAATTGGCAAAACATATTTTGAAGCTGGAAGAAAGATTTTTTGGTGTAACAATTCGGGATGTTCGAAGATTAGCTTTTCAAATAGCTGTTTGGAATGATATTCCATACCGTTTCAATATCAATAAGGAAATGGCGGGAAAAGGATGGTATTATTATTTTATGGACCGACATCCTCATCTGTCACTTAGACAACCAGAGAAAATCTCTGTTGATGAAAGTAGATTTTCAACAGTTCAGGAACGGAGTCAAAAAATAATTGCATGTAGAGGAAAGCACCAAGTTGGAGGTATAGCAAGTGGTGAAAGGGGTGTAAATACCACAGTTGTCGTTTGTGCCAGTGCTGCCGGTCAAACTGTACCGGGCATGAAATTTCTTAAGAGAAAACGTATGGCTCCAGAGCTTACCACAGGTGCAATACCTGGCACTATTATTACAATTTCAGATACTGGATATATAAATAGTGAACTTTTTGTTAAATGGTTACAGCACTTCATTGAGTACGTAAAACCAAGTACCGAAAAAAAGTTTTACTTTTACTAGATGGCCACACAACGCACTCTAAAAATCTAGAGGCACTTATTTTAGCAAAAAGTCATGGAATTGTATTACTGCAACGTCCTTGCCATACTGCAGATTGGTTGCAGCGGTTAGACGTGAGCTTTTTTAAGCCTATGGAATCTCATTTTTCTCAAAGTCTAGAAACATTTTTAGGAAGCAATTCTGGTAACACTGTTTCTCAATACAACATGACTGGATTGCTCTCTGATGCCCATGAAAAAACAGCATCAATAAGCACTATCATGAATGGTTTCAAAATAACTGGAATATGGTCGGTTGACCGCACTGTATTTTCTGAGACAGATTTTATCGCTTCTAATGCCTTGTTTGAAAATGATTCAGAAAAAGCAAGTGAGGACTCAGAGGCAGAAGATCTACCTGAAACGACTCCTGAGCCTAAAGACGATGCTACTGAGCCACCAGTTTACAGTGATAGTACTGCCAAAACAAAAATTGCAACACAAGAGATCTCAATACCTCTATTGAAGAAATTTACCCTCTACCCGAGAATAAAGGTCACGCTAATAGGCGAAAATTTTCTCAACCAGACGTCATGCTGAGCACCACGCCCTATAAGGATGAATTAGAAAACAAACGTAACCAAAGGCAAAAATCAATAAAAAAGGTACAAAAAAATTTGAGCTTTCTTCTATTTCTCTTTTTGAAGCACGTGACAGTCAATCTTCTACTTCAAAATCTGCTGAGGTAACTCTGAGAATTTTCTAAGAGGAAAATTGACTTGAATCTTTGAGGAAAATCCATATAAAAAACTTCAATACGTTCTACTTTGACAATAATCATCAGATAGTGGAGTTTGACATTGAAAATCGTAATGTGTATCAGGTCAGGAATCGTAAGCAACGTTATTTGAAGAATATTCTGTTCTGGCCTTATCTAGTCTCATCAGCGGCGCAGAAATTTTGAAGAACCTGTCTATATCCACATATTTTTTGCCATTTTTGGATGTACTTTCTATTATAGAAATGTTGTCATTACTTTTTGAATCACCCTGCATATCAGAATACCTACCTAGAAGTTCTTTATATGTGCCTATTGTACTTTAATCTCTTCTATGATGTAAGTTGTACATGAAGTGTAACAGTGAATAAAACGATCATGACATTTTCATTAGTTTTGGTGTGAGACTTATATATGTGACATCTGTACGATTTCTTTATCGTATATTAAAATAAGAACCGTCACGTTCAGTTACTAACAGTTCAACTGTACTGTATATTTGTTGAAGCGAGACACATAAATCATCAAAATAATACGTCTTTGCGATTCATTAAACAATTACCGATCACTAAAAATCAACCTTTCTGTTCCGCTCATTATTTTAGATTTAATGAAAGCTTACAATAAACGAGCGAAATAATATAAATAAATCTAGTCTATGAAATCTCAAAAGACGTCGATCAGAAAGAAATAATTCGTGTCATTTTGAAAATTGGTAGAGCTATTCGTCATACGTGTTCAGATCCCCAATCCCCGATTCACAAAATTTTTTTCGAAAAGGATCAAGAGTATCTGAAATGTCAAACAAAGTTTGATCGATATTTATTTTTGTCTCGTTTTTGGCCGTTGCTAGACCGATTTTCAAAAACTACATAGCATTTTGTCCTTGACATAGTGTTAATATTTTGTAAAAATTTCATCAAAATCTGAGAGGTACTTCTCAAGTTATAAACGGTTATCGGATTATCGGACATGTTAATCTGTAAAAAAAAACTAAAAGTTTTCAGAGTGTTTCACAAATAGAATATTTATATACATATAGGACTAACCCTAAATCATTTATTTGGCGTTTAAATAAAAAATCAGGGTTTTAGTTCCAAAAATTATCAAGTCTGATGATATGATTGGCCCTAGGTTTCACATACATCTAGATAGATAGTTTATAAAGTACACAGTAGAAGTACGTATACAAGAGCTAGAAAATGTATATTTTATTTATTGGAAAACAATGACGCTTCAGAACAAAATAATGCCAGATTCTATTCATAAATACTCGGTCTTCGATAAGTCCTTGTTAGTGCTATTCAACTATTTACGGACAATGAGCTGAAGCTTCATCAAGAATCATGCTTCTATTTCGCAAAAGATTACCTGGGAGCTTTTTTTGACACCGACTCTCCCTTCCTTCACTTGACCTTTTTGGTGTTTTCTCAGGTGGCACAAGCACAAACTCTTGCGCGTCGATGTGTCAATGATCTTCTTCGCTTACAGAAAGAATATCGTGATCAAATCACAGCGCAGGAGCTTGTGCTCCTGCTACTGCAGAGTGTGATATTGGTGGCGACACGGCCGCAGAAAATACCTTGAGTCAGATGAAAAAAGCGACAGACAGATCCAGAATACTCCCCAAAGATCTCTGAGGGACAGTAGCATCGTGGCGTGAAGAAAAAAACAGATAAAGATATATTCTTATTGAGACAGCCAAATCGCACTAACAAGGATCTGAGGAAACTAAGTACTTGCGTTTTTTGCAGTGCAATCTGCACTAATGGGTACGTTAAAAAAGACCAAAGCCGAAACCGACTCTTTAGACTAGTGACAGCATTGATATAGAAAATCTGTACTGCCATTGTGAAACACTCAAATTCAATTTGAAAAAAATATATGGTAACGCAGTAAGAGGCGTGTGCGTGCCTTCTGCTGCTTAACATACTTTTTTTTAAAATTTATATTCAAGTGTTTCACTGTGAGACTGCGACAGTGACAGGTCTTCATAATCAAAGAGATAAACCATTGAATGTCCTTTTATTTGCACTCAAGCATCCAGCGGGTGTGCATCGTACGACCATGATGTCTCTAAGTCATCTTCCCTGACCTACCACAATATCAGTTCCATACACGCACTCGGATCCTCGTAACTATTGTCACCGTTCATCTGTAGCTGCCTCTTCAAGATGCTGGATGTTAGGTTTCTGAGTGACCTGCGGTAAGGGAGGCCATAGTGGTGCGGGAAGGTGTACGCGGTATCCACAATGTGGGAGCGCACCATCTTCAACGCTCTGAGATCGTTCTCGAGGCTGTGGTCGATCAGTGTAGTGTTCGCGTGGATGAACCGCTTAAGATCATTCTGCACTTCGCGGAGTTTTTTTGCTTGTGTGCGTTCCATGTCCTTGGCGGTGATGCCCGAAAACCTAGTATTGTAGCCAACGATTTCGAAGTCGGGTTGCACATTTCAAAGTCGAGGGCGTCCACGCTGTTGTTACCATCTGGTAGCAGGTTTTTCATTACTTCTGTCACCTCGTGGTTGATGTGAAACCACTCAACTCTGTCCAGGACGCCATTCCACACGTGTACCCTTCCTTCAACACCTCCTTTGGTTCCGCTTTCCGCTTGACAACAAGTATAACTTACACCATCTGGCAGTGTGTCTTTAAGGCTGGAGGTAAAACTTGTTGCTACCTACCCCAGTGGTAGCAATATCTCTCCATCGTGATATATTCCTTATCGGTAATGTAGGGTTTACCGCATCGACTGCAGGTTCGTTCGAGGTAGGGGCCCGATGTAGGTTTCACTATGTAGTGTTGGTTGTAATGCACTTGGGCATATGGTTCAGAACTGCTACTACTGAGTGAGACCTCGGTATCGAAGGACTCTTCACTGTCGCTGGAGCTTCCAGAACATTGTCTGCTATCTCTAGACCAGTCGCACCTCGGCATGAACTCCCTAGCGTTTACGTCCAAGTTATACAGGGGAGTCCTTATAGGCATATTTGGGAAGCGCCACATCACTAAAGCCTTCCGATCAACGGTTGTCCGAATGGGATAACTCCTGCAGACCAACTAATCGCAGCTGAGAACGTACTTGCGCAGCAGTGCTTTGAACGTCCGTATATTGGCGGAGAAGTTTACGTACTGCCTCAAGGGTATCTCGTCCATGGTGACGTTGCTTATGACATTGGCCATGGAATGAGAATATTCCTACATGTGTACCCTCGTCTCCACACATCCTTTGGCTCCACTTTTCGCCCAGCAACACGTATATATCTTCTGGCAGTTTGTCCTTACGTCTGGAGGTACAATGTATTGCAATACCTCTCCATCATGATATCGGTAAAATAGAAGGGTCTACTGCATCGACTGCAGGTTGGTTCGGGGTAGGGTCCAGATGGATACCATTGAGAAGTGCTAGCGCTGAGTGGATTGTCAGTATAGAAGGAACTTCCAGAACCTTGTCCGCTCTCTGTGCTTGTCACACCTCCGTTGACTGGATCGTCTTCAAATAAAAAAACAGTACCTTAAGGACAGTGTACAAAACTGTAGGGTTGCGGAAATAAGGATAAGCGTGTCAAACGGAAAAAAATATGAATGTATGGGCCGTATAAATTACAAATCAACGACTTTACTCCACCCTTCTACTTGATGCATGAGTAGCGCAAAAATTTGTACATTCTAAGAGGTGGTGGGTGGGCGCCATTTTGGAACATTCCTTAAGTGGAACGGGGGGATGAGGAATTATGTGATATCACATTCTTGAGCGTCTAGAATATAAAGAAATCCAGAGCGTTTCAAAATGTGTTTGTACATTCAATCGCTTATAACTCAATAACCAATCATTAAAACGTTATGTATTATGAGCCTTAGTGACTGACAATTACTTTATTTAGAATAATTGTCAATAATCTGTCATTATTTTGAAACAAAATATCTCATACTTCATTCCACATTAAGATAGACACTTCCAAGATAAAAAAGATACAACATAAATATAGCCTTTTGATGATTACAATTTCAACAGCCCGCCAGTCCGTGATTTTGAAACATAGTTTTATATTTTGTACTAATAGAAAGTTTCAAAATTTTCCAAGATGGCGCCCAGCTGCCATTTGCTACTCTTATGCTCCTCAGCATAATGCATTTTGGCAGTCGAGCTCATTTTGATGTTACGTAATGATGATTTATCACCATGAGGACTTAAAAAATATGACGTAACTCAAGAAATCCTGATGGCCATCAGCTTTGGCAAATGCTTTCGTGAAGAACATATACATACAGCGAAAAAAATTGTAACTAATCAAAAACAACCTCATAGAAGAGCCTTCGGAAGAGCTATTTAGATTTTGCAGTGAGCGGTTCATTAATTGAAGTATATAAACTGAAGAGCTTAACTATACTCAACCAACAATTTCCGTTTTTTTTGCTCGGTCAAATTTAACTTAGTCTAACTTACAGGGGTGATAAGACAAACAAAAATGTGAAATATGTAAAAGCGAGTGGTGCGTAAGTATGTTTTACCAAAAATGAATAAAACATTTTCATCTCAATAGTGGGTTTCTAATTGAGGCTAAAAGACCCGCGGGCATACTATTGTATATTCTGTTCGAGGTTCTACATTTCTCCAAACGTACTCTAACGCACTCTTTAAGTTATTCATGGAGGCGTATGTCCTGTACCCCTCGTACACTTGTCCAAATGAAATTTCTCCAGATTTTTGATATGACAAGATACAAATATGTCGTGCTGTTTTTATTATATCGGAACCAAAATTGTTAATCGGGTTTTCAATTCAAAAAGGTTAGTGTTGGCGTGTCGCATCTAATTTTTGACTTGCCGAAATAAATTGATTGATGTTATATAACACGATTCCCACAAATTATTTCAACGATTATCTATATCATTAGGTCGATGAATGATCACTTCGAAGTATTTTAAGATTTTTACAAAAAATGAATTACCAAATATTTTCTCCAGATTAGCTTTCACAACAGCAGAGAGGCACAATGCTGAATACAGTTTCTACAATAATTTTCATAGTAAATGGAGGTAGGTTGAAAATATAAGATAGAAGATGCTAAAAGTCGTTGCTATCTGCGCACAGACCTATTATAACTAATATTTATCTAGTGAAAACACAATTCATTCAGCCGTAGACAATGAGCTTTGTTTTCGTGCCTTATCCTTTATACATTTTTATTCACAGTTAAGAGTGACAACTTTCTGGATAAACTGATTTTGGATAAGGAATGTTTAAATAGAAAGTATGTATAACTTGCTCAACATTTTTTAAAATAATTGAGCTTTGAAAGAAGAGTAGATTTATAATAGTTATACTTTATGGTAACTGATATAAAGGCTGATGCAATCAACAGATGAGGACCTGACATGTTGAAACCGCAATACTATCAAAAAAGATACATGCTCTTTAAAGAATTGGAAAATCCACAATTCAATCAAGACCCACGTGAAATAAGGAGTCAACCTACTTGACGCAATTTTTCTAAAAGGCTATATTATAGTGTTTTCATCATTTATGAATCGTAGGCAAAGAAATTTTGGTGATTCTTAACTTTTATTTGCTAGAACGATAACCATATAAACTATCCATCTTCAAAAATTGTGTCCTAAAATGCTGTTGAATTTGGTGAAGAGAAAAATCAAAATTAAGGTTATTATTAAGATGTAGATAAAATATGCTTGAAAACTAACCAAATGTATACTCACCTGATGTGCTCCTGACTTCCACTAGTAATATCAATAAGCGGTTGTATAATATATGTAGGTGGCACAGCAATATACCTACGAATACTCTTTTTATTGCTAAGTACACATATTTTCAGAGACCCGTATAAACGCATAAAACTACGTTTTACGTGGTTAGTAATAATGTGTCACCCTCACTCGTTGCAATTCAAATTGCATATTTTCATCTATATGTGATTATTTCCTGTTTGGACCTTGATCAATGCGTAGCAAATGAAGAAATGGTAATCTGAAACTTACGTGATATGAAACCAAGAACGTGTCAATTGCTCATATAGTGTCGGCAGATACTCTTTTGTATTTAGCCTGGTAAGGATGTCTTTGTGAATTTCAGTAGTACATCAACTGCAAAAACATAATACTTAATGTATCATAATTTTTTTCAACTCATGTACGTTATTGTTACTACCCTGATGTCACTTCCTTCTGTACAATAAAATATATTGGAAACTGCCGCGGCTGCTACTCGCTACAGAAAGATGTTTCCTTCCAAACCCAAAGCTTACCCTGAGCTTCTGCGAGATCTGACTCTAAGTGATCTTCTTGTTTCAAAACCAATGGAACTGAAGACATGTGATTGTTCAAGTTATTTTCAATAAAGAACCTTTTCCCCTGTATCCCCCTATAGAGTCCCACTGTACCCCATGGGTGTTTATACCTTAGGCCTTCGTGGTAGCTGGATTATAAAAAAAACTATTCAATTCAACTAATAATATTAATTATCACGTCTAAGGCATCTTTTTTATAGTTTAAGTGTCATCCCCCTGGCCACACGGTACCTGGTACCTATAAAAGCTGTCAAAATCAAAACATCATTTAACCCCGTCAAACATGTATCACATATCACATAGACTTGTGGCATAATTGATATGAAGACAAAATAAGCTTTTCTTCTTAGTTAACTCTGAAAACCCAAATACGGTGTATGCCTTGTAGGCATTCATTGCATACAAAGTTGATGAGTTCGCTTCAGATTCGGGTAAATTGGTTATCAAAAGTACAGCAGTGCTGCAATTTGGTATTGGCATATTTCTATCAACAATTCGGATAGTAGTAACTGTTAGTCTTTTTTTTATTTTTTACTAGCTGACCCGACAGACGTTGTCCTGTAAATGGGTAAATATATGGAATATAGGTAATTGTATAGCGAAGTGTCTGTACCGGCCTGTGGCTAGCAAAATACGTCGGCAGCACTGTCATTCCCTCATCAACTCAACTGGAAAGTAGTCTGTACAGCATTAGTAAACTTTTAGAAAAAAGATGAATGGAGTTATGGCATGACCACGCAAAATAGGGATTCATTTTTATGTATATATATATATATATATAGATTATATTCACTAAATAATACAAATATATTAAGAAATAATTCAAAACATCATTATTTGAATCATTCCAAGACAATTTATTTCCATTTTCAGAAAACCGATCCGTTTCGAATTACACATACAGATTTTTACGATTTTCAGTAAAGATTAGATACTGCTAATGGGGAAATGGTGTTAACGATCTGTTTCAGCTACTAAAAATGCAATTTTGATGAATGTAACTTAAAAACAAATGACTATGAATTATATCTTATATTTATCTTAGTCTAATATCATTCTAGTTGATTTTTTGAGATTAAGAAACATTATTAGACAATATAAATGTTGACTTTCGAAAAGATCTATCACTTAAAAATAGTTTCCGACTGTCTGTTTTAGTGCTTCGTCTGGGTTATCAATATCACTTTTGTAGCATCATTTCTGTGGTTTTTACGTGAAAAGGAAAGTTGCAAAGACAGTTTATATATAGGGTGAGTTTTTAATGTGTGCTCGATAGGTAACTCTATTGTTTCTCGGGAGGTTGGTAGCAGAACTTATTACCATTTGTATCCTTCTAACGCTAAGGGCAAATATACGGGGAAATTTATGGTATTTGAAATGTGTCTAATAGGTGTGTAGAACTATCTAGGCTAGGAGCGTATAAACATACTAACATAAAAAAATTGACATTACACTCTCCCACCCACCACTTTTTATGCTTAGTGAATGTTTTCAAAGTTATAATGATCATCAGACACGTCAAAAAATTGAGTTTGAGGGATTTTAATTTTTCTAGTTTTTGGTCTTTTTCTCCACCGCGACTGGACCGGTATTAAAAAACTACAAAGCTTTTTCGTCATTTGAATAGTAGTAACCTAACCGCCGTTACTTTCCACATTATAGACAGATCAAGGAATAGCGGACAGACAGATAGGCAGACTAACGGAAATAGTTGACCTGGTTTTTCGTGATATACATGCCATATAACGTTAAAGAACATGACATCACATTTTCTAAATTTTTCGCGACTACAGTACTTCCTCTCCAGTAGGCGTGTGAAGTAATATAATTTTTCCTAAGGCACTGACTTCCTTACACACATTTTAGAATAAGGTTTTACATAAATCGCTTCTCCTGAGATTTTTTTTTGAGGAAGATTGACTTGAACGTTTGACTTAAAATCCATATTAAAAGCTTCAACTCGTTCTAGTTTGAAGATACGTATCCGTTAGTGACGTTTGACGTTCAAAATCCCTTGTGTATCAGGACAGTAATGGTAACCTTCTATAGAGTTATTTAAAGAATATTCTGTTATGTCCTTCCTTAGTCCATCAGTGGCGTTTACAAGATCCTGCAGCTTGGTGATGGGACATTTTAGGACATCTGTCCATTTCTATGGAAACTTTTTTTTGCTATTCTTAGATCTACCTTTTCCCACACAAACATTTCCAATACCTCTTTTGAATCACCCTGCATATCAAAAATATCTGCCTAGAGCTTTTTTATATGTGCCTATTGTACTTTAATCTCCTGCTAGTATTATAGTGAATAAGAAGATCGTGACATTTTCATTAGTTTTGCTGTAAGACTTACGTACGTGACAACTGTACGATTTTTTATGGAGAATTACTTTTCATCGTATTCAGTATCAAATTGAAAATCATCACGTTTAGCTATTAATAAAAGATTCAAACCCACAGAAAAACTGTACTGCAGTATTCGCTGATACAAGATACATACCTAAACAGTTCCGCGACAACAGTGTTAGTGATCGGACGTGATTTCTTCGGTTGTTAAAAACAAGCGATCGAATTTCTTCACGGATAAGTAGTACTCCGTTAATTAGAAAGCTATTAATACAGATCTCTCTTGATTAATATAAGATAAGATTAACTACTACGTCAGGCGATTCGGGCAGCGTGCCGCCGCCCACAACAAATCAGAATAGCAGAAACATTCCAGGCATAAGCAATTCACGAAAAAATGAAAGTGAAGATATTTATGATTTCTCAAATTAATATTTAGAGACAACCTTAGTAACTTACTGACAAAAAGATAGGCAGATTATTCCTTATTCGTTTTGGTTACCTTCTTCAAGTTGTAGATGCATTTACGTCAATGATGCACTTTGAACTTATCAGGCAAAATAACGAGTTTCGCAGTCACCATATAATTTATTTCAGTAAAATATTTTTTCCCTTTACCTTTCTATAATAGTCCTGAAACAGCTAGAAATCTCTCATCGTTAGATATAATAAATAATAATCATATAATTATAAACCGAGCGTCTAAAATAAAATATTTAGGGATAATGATTGATGTTCGCCTTAAGTGGCATGCTCAGGTGAGTATCTTACAAATAAATTCAGGTCACTAATACCAAGATTCAAGTTCTTTAGTGATATATTATATACAATATATTATATGCATTATAATTCAATCACTGCTATGTAACGGCATTGTTGGGTGTGGGGAGGGAGTATTGCCTGCCGTATTGAAATGTATATTCCGATTTTCTCGACAACAACTGACCAGCTACTTCTAGAACTGTAGAAATTAATAAGGTTTTAGGTTAATTAATTTAAACAAAATATTATATGATAAACTTGTGTACTTGTGTGATATAGTCATATATCCAATAATAATTAATTTATTATCAAAATATATCAAATATACAATTTACAATAGAAATTTACATGAATATTGTATACCCGTATGACAACGACAGTGTTTCGTATGGGTAAACGCGCACAGGCTGCTAGATGCCTTCTGCGAGTACTCCATGCTTCTTTTATTTGGTTCCAGATTAATTGTATTTTACAAATAAACATTATTATTTTAAAAAAAATAGTGTACGTATATAGGTAGAGGTACAGTTATAAACAGACTGAAGGTCGTATTTAAATCACATAATGTTGAAAATGCGTTGGTAAATCATAATGTTATCATAAAAACCAAGTAGTCTGCATTCCAAAATTCTACAATCACAAAAAAGGTGTTATAAGAATGTTCGACACCTATCTCTCTGAGTGGTACATTTTAAATACAATAGAATCATCGTTAGATGTATCCGAGGATAATCGTTAAAAGAGCAAAATTCAAGACAAAGATACTAATGAAGCAATGTTTGTAGATCGACAAGTGGTAGTTGTCAGTCTTGTAAGAAATACAATTCCCCTATTTATTCGAATTAATATAGTAAATTTTGTAGTTGAACGTTATTATTTCCCAGTCATCGCTATGGTGACACGAGTAAACAGCGTATAGGGAAAAGTGTGTGAGGCCTGCGGAAACGACAAATGTCGAGACAAGCAGTGCAATAGTCAAGAAAAGAAATGCTTGCATTGAAAGTACAGATCACCATTCAGTCTCAAAAGAATGTCCAATGTATCTATAAAAAACAGTTTTTATATTAGAATCATCAGGAAATATCAAATGCTTTAGCGCTAGAAAAGCATCTCTGACCAACTTTAAAGAAACTGGAATATTGATAGTGTAATATTGTCGGAGATTTGTTTGATAAAAGGGCATTATCTGAACATGAAAGAATTCAATTGTTTTCAACTCGAGATCTGATGGCTTTGGTAGAATGGCAATAATAGTATCACAAATGATTGATTACATAAGATTGTACTCATCTTGTGGGGCGCTCAAGGGAATTTATTGGTTGATGCTCTTGATGAGTTCGATGTAATATGCATTAATCCCTGGACAAAAAAACATCTGATATAGATATAACATTTACATCAACTTATTTAATGA